ATTACAAATTAATGAACCAAATCCCATCATCGCACCCACATAATTCCTACCACTCAGAAAAAGCACCAGACCTTCCCATAAACTAGCGTGGCTCAAAGATTTTTGCTACTAGTTACTTCCAATGTTTGTACTTCTGAGCTCTCTAATCCAGCAGGTATTTCCCTTTTACCCATGCCCTACACTTTTACTTCTCCTTATTTGAATTTCGTAGCTAATGTATCTAAAATCCAAGAGCCTGCAACCTATAAACAAGCTAGCAAAGATCCAAATTGGATTCAAGCCATGGCTAAAGAGTTGGATGCTTTAGAGACCAACAACACATGGATTCTCACTAATTTATTGCCGGCTAAAAAGCCAATTGGTCCAAAATGGGTATCGAGTCAAATACTTTGCTGATGGTACTCTTGACATGTTCAAAGCCCGTCTTTTCGCTAAGGGTTACAACCAATTACTCGGCGTTGATTATACTGATTCTTTCTCTCCTGTAGCTAAACTTGTCATAGTCAGGTTACTTCTCACTATTGCAGCTGTGAATCAATGACCATTACACCAATTGGACATCAACAATGCATATCTCCATGGCTTTATAGATGAGGATCTATATATGGAACCTCCTGCAGGACACACCAAAGCATTGCCGGGCCAATATTGCAAATTACAGCGATCTCTCTATGGTCTCAAGCAAGCGGGACGCCAATGGAACAAACAATTTACCACCACTTTGCAGGCTTTTGGATTTCGCCAATCCTCCCATGATCACTGTCTTTTTATCAAAGGGCAAGGTACTACATTTCTCGCTCTCTTGGTGTATAATGATTACATCCTCATAACTGGACATGCTGAAAAATTGATTATTGAAGTGAAAAACTATCTGCACAAACAGTTTACTATCAAAGACCTTGGATACGCAAAATTTTTCCTTAGTCTAGAGATAGTGATATCTGCTTTTGGTTTGATTGTTACTCAATGCAAATACATATTGGATTTATTATCTTTTGTTGGACTTGTGGACTCTAAACCTGTTCCCACTCCATTGATTCAAGGCACAAAGTTACAGCCTGACATGGGCTCTCTACTTCCCGATCCTGTTGTCTATCGACGGTTAAGGGGGAGACTGCTTTATTTGGGCCTTACCAGACCCGATATTACTTTTGCGGTCCAGCAGTTAAGCATGTTCATGCAACAGCCATGTGAGTATCATTATAAAGCTGCACTCCGCATACTTAAATACTTAAAGGGCTGCTCAGATAAAGGCCTATTCTTTCCTGCCTCTAACTCCCTCAAGATCACTGCGTTTTGTGACGCGGACTGGGCCTCATGTCCAACTACTCGCAATTCATTATCTGGTTATTGCATATTTCTCGGGTCTTCATTGATATCCTGGAAATCCAAGAAACAAAACACAGTGAGTCGCTCCTCCGCTGAAGCAGAATATAGAAGCAAGGCGCTCACAATCTGTCAATTACTTTGTCTTTCGTATATTCTCAAAGACCTGCAAGTTCATGTTCAGTTGCTCATTCCCTTATACTGTGACAACCAGGCAGCACTTCGCATCGCTCAAACCTTATTTTTCACGAGAGAACGAAACACATTGACATCGACTGTCATGTGGTTCGCAAACAACTCCATACTGGTTTCATTTCTACCTCACACATAACACCAAAGCTCAACTTCCATATTTATTCACCAAATCTCTCTCGCACCCATCATTCTCTCTTCTCCTTTCCAAGCTGTGATTAGTTGATTTCTCTCCAATCAATTCCAGCTTAAGGGGCAAAATCCATCACTGACATCGCCTTTAGTATGGCAAGACATTATATATTTATATGCAAGCCCTGAATTATTTATTCTCCTCCTTCTCCCGCCTATAGCTGCTGATATGGACAATTGGTTATAGATATTTTCTCTTGTTAACCGTAATTTAACTTTCCATCGTTCGTAGATTTACAATAGTTTGCATATAAAGCATCTGTGAACTAATAAGAATACAGAAGAGAATTATTTTTCCTTTTCGACTTCTCTACATTATCAAACTCGGTTTTCTTTATCTTTCCTTCATTTTCTTGACTTTCAAACAAACGAAAGATAAAATCCAGTGAAAATGAACTAAAAATCGCTAAAAGGGCACCTGAAATTTTGATTTTTGCACTTTTGATGACAGAGATTTGGAGGCTGTTCGGTTCTGATTTGCAAGTGAACGTACTCGCATCTACAATGACCTCGCAATTACCTATAAAAACAAAAACAAGCAAAATAATTAGAGAATGGAGGTATTGCATATGAACAGTATACGGAGCATCTATACCATATGACCCGCTGTACATATCGCAATAGTCGACTTTAATGTTAATGATATGAGGCAGCGACTGCGAAGTTGTGGCGGTCAAGTAACAGCCCGATGAGGCCGAGCTATGAGGGCCGACACAAAAATAATTAAACGGAGAAACTTCTATGTGCATTGGATGGCGGAGACGTGGACAAGGAATTAGGGGCACTGATTTAGTTGGGTTTTTGTTGTGTTACATACTGAAGATAGATGGCTTACGAACGCGAGGAAAATCCACTCAATCTGTGCAGACTATTACCTCCTCCTTCTCCCGCCTATAGCTGCTGATATGGACAATTGGTTATAGATATTTTCTCTTGTTAACCGTAATTTAACTTTCCATCGTTCGTAGATTTACAATAGTTTGCATATAAAGCATCTGTGAACTAATAAGAATACAGAAGAGAATTATTTTTCCTTTTCGACTTCTCTACATTATCAAACTCGGTTTTCTTTATCTTTCCTTCATTTTCTTGACTTTCAAACAAACGAAAGATAAAATCCAGTGAAAATGAACTAAAAATCGCTAAAAGGGCACCTGAAATTTTGATTTTTGCACTTTTGATGACAGAGATTTGGAGGCTGTTCGGTTCTGATTTGCAAGTGAACGTACTCGCATCTACAATGACCTCGCAATTACCTATAAAAACAAAAACAAGCAAAATAATTAGAGAATGGAGGATAGATTATTGTGTTTTTAGGAATAAAAATCTCCATTAATTTCCAATATAATAACTTGTCATTTTTCAATTAAAATATAAATGATAAATTTCATTTAAATAAGTAAACTAATATTCTACACTAATTAATTAATTATATAAGTAATAACATTAATTATAATAATTATTTTTAATTGATCTAAAAAAATTTGTTGATTTGAGTAATTAATTTGAAAATTAAAAAAAAAATTAAGAATATTACTATTGTTTTTAATTACATTTGCAAACAATTGTTGATACTTAATTTTTATAATTTCATAGTAATAATAACTAACGTTATTACTATAGTTAAAAAAAAAGTCATTACTTGTTTGAAATTTTTCGAAAAAAAAAAGAAAAAAAATAAAAATATAAACTAACTTTATTATTGGATTAGAAAAAAGTAAAAATAGTTGAGTTAGGAGTGGGATAATTGTTTTAGTAAACATTTCAATGGTTGTGAAACTCATTTACAAGTTCTATCAATTTGAGTAAAATTTGAGTTAGGCATACCCAATTTTATAGGATTCAATTCGTAAAATTCAAATCTTTATTTTTTTTTTTCATTCTAAACATAAAATTTTGGATTTCTAAATATATTCCACAAAATTTGGTGGAATTCATTTGGAAATCCAAACCGCTCTTTCTATGGCTCTTGGTTTGAGTTTTGGAAGTGAAGAAGTAAAATCGAACTTAGATCAAGTGGGAGGAAAAACGTTCATGTAATTTAAACAAACGGCGAATTCTGATTTTTGAGTGAATTTACACTTATATTTTGCTTTAATAAATGATATTTTTTTGGTTTTTTATATAATATGGTGTTTATGAGCATTGATTTTTTTAAAATTGTGAACATAAAATCAATTTAAAAATAATAAATATGTATATTGAAAAATGCACATAGACATTTATGGAAAATTGTATTGCAAAAACGTATTACTAAAAAACATAACTACTTTATGATTTTATCAACCATCTAAGAACTTCAAGCTCATATTGGTCATTAATTGAGAACAAGATTTAACCTTATGAAGTGAAATCTCCCATTATATTATAATAGTTCAATTTTAGAATGATCGGCTGTTAACTGACTAGTTATATTATAAGTTCAAATCCTACTCAGAGAGACTAAACTAAAAAATTGAGAAAGAAAGAGTTCATTTTAACCATTAAGGTAGGTGACCCGCTTCCTATGTGTTGTTTTTATTACATTTTATCTCTTCATATCACAGTTAGAGAGCAGAATTTTCACCTGAACTTGCATCAAAGATGCAATCATTTTAAAAGCTATTTATAACCATCCAATCAAGAATTTTCAACTATTTCTAAAAAATGCAATGCTTGATTCTCTGAAAAGGCCACAATTATTTCTCTCCACCTAGTGAGCTAAGAGTTTCGACCTATTTAGGATTTCTCTCGACCTAGTGAGCTAAGAGTTTCGACCTATTTAAGCGTGGCAACGAATAAAAAAAATTAGACAAGAAATTATATTTTAGATTGTGACCAAATCAATTTTAAACCTATAAAATTAAAACCACATTATAAGAATTTATTATTTATTAATAGTTTTTTTTTTTTTTTTTTTTTTTATTAATAGTTTTTTTTTATTTTTTTTTTTTGATAATTATTTGATCTAAACATGTTATGAACAATAAATCAGATACCAAATTAACACTTAATTTTTTTACGCAATTATAATGTTTTATAAATGAATATTGGAACGCTTGATATAACTCAGTTTTTTTTTTTTTTTTTTTTTGATAATATTTGATCCTAAACATGTTATGAACAATATCAATACCAAATTAACACTTAATTTTTTACGCAATTATAATTTATAAATTGAATATTGAACGCTGATATACTCAGAGACTCTTAAATCCAAATACTTTACAATTGATCTGCACATTTGTATACTTGAGGCTTGAGGATTAACTATTAATTTCTTCAATAAATCATTGATTAAAACAGAGGGATAAGTCTTTATAATTGAAAATTTTGGAGGAAAAAGTGTGATCTTGTTCATACTTTGCATTTAACCAACAACAAAAAGTTTCATTGAACATGAAATAGAAATTTTACAAATATAGCTCTCATGCCAGGTCATCATTCACATCCACATCTTGCTCTTTATCAATGTCAATGGAAAGCTTGTGTATCCACCCCACATTCTCTGACCAGCTAATATCTTGAAGTTTATCATTGAGACCATCTCTGTTGGATATGGCATTCTTTGAAGGTTCAGACAACTTCACATCTTCCTCCTCTGATTCAAACTCTTCTCCATCAGTATCACCCATCTCATCATCTTGATATTGGCTTCTCATTGTACAACTTCACATCTACCTCCTCTGATTCAAACTGTCTCGGTAAGAAAAACGCAATCGCATTTAGAATGAAAAGTAAATCCAGCAAAAGCATGCCAATAACTAACAGACAAGCCTAAAAGGTCACATAACTACCGACAGCAACTACCATTCTTTTAAGTTCTAAGAAAATAAAGAAGTACTGAAGCATCGCTTGAACTAAGCAGATTAATACAACTCTCAGATAATTCATGGCAGAATTTATACATCAAAGATCAAATATTTCATACTCTATAAATTCAACAACCAAGAACAGATTTTCAAGCATATTAATCAATCAGGAATCAATACGGCACGCTGTCTAATTTAAGAGTCATTACAAATGACTCAAAAACATGAAAACCAGAGCAATTTAACCATGAAAATTTTACAAATCAAGAATTAATTTGACTTAGTTATATTGAATTAATAAAGTGCAAAATCAAATCTGCGATTTATCTGAAACATGAACTTCCAAATGAAATCCACAAAATTTTGCAGAATTCATTTCAGAAAACAAGCATTTTGAATTCCAACAAACAAGTTGATAGGCCAAATTACATCATAATTCTGTAAAGATGTACAATCAGAGGCCTCTCAATACTTTCAAAGAAACAAGCAATGATTAGCAATCATCTTAAATATATATTTCGATTTAATTTTCGATAACGCTATCATTAACTTAATCTAACCCTTAATCATGGACTCATTACTAATCTTCTGTCTCAAAAGGTTATCCATAACATAGCAGAAAAATTTCAATTCTTTCATAATCAAATATATACATCAGACCCTACTTTTAAAATTTTATTTCATTCATTATAGTAAACTAATCAGAGAAACTTAATAAGAAAGTGAAACACACTTCAAAACAAAACAAACTAAGCCATTTCCCCTTTCGCTGGGCAACTCATAAATCTTAGAATAGTAAATAAGGGAAGAAAATTGTTTTTTCAAAGATTTTAAAACTTACATAAAAGAAAAGAGAATTTAAAATACAACACAAAAAGGAGAAAGGAACTCACAGATTTAAGGCTTCAACAAAAATCAGAACGGATGTTGTCAAGCTCTGTTACAAAGGAAATAACAGCGACGGTTCTTGATAAGGACTCGCTTCAAATCGTCTGGGCTCCAAGGGCAGTCGAAGAGAAGATGGAACCTCTTCCTTTTTGTTTTTCCCCGTTTCTCTTTCTAACGGCCGGATGATAGAGAACACATCTCCTTTAGTGAAGTTAGGCTCTAGGGTTTTAAGACTTAATTGTTACAAAAAATCCGCGACTGTAATTTTAGCAAAAGAAGAATAAACAGTCCCAGATGGATAAAGAAGAGAGTTGCAATATTAAGACTTAACTGCTATTGTATTTATGTTACAAGAAAATGTTGCAAATACCTAAGACCATCATCGATACTAACATATCTCCAGTTAACTATATTCAAAATACCCACACTCACCTTATCAACTCTAACTTCCCTCTTCCCACCTCCACAAAACCCTAACTTCAAGTCTGCCACCAACCCACTTGAATAGCCACCGGAGCAACACCCGGGAGATGGAAGCTCCTCTGAAAACCATCCATCAACGCCCAAACCAAATCTCACTTTCCCTTCACAATCCATCATAGTAAAGACCCTGCTCCATCCCTTCAATATCAAATTCCAAGAAATTTTCATATCTTCTAATACCTCGTATTTATTCTTGTAACATACGTCAATATCAAACCTAAACACCTCTTGCCGGATATCAAGTTCAACACCCGGCTTTGCAATGCTGACAGTGGAATGAAGATGAAGATGATTCTTTGTGCTTAAATTTATGACAAATATGAGATTTTCTAGGGAAATTTGGGGTTTATTAGGTTTTTTCACACGGCGACTGGCTGCAATAGAAGCCATGGCGTATAGGCGGCGATAGGAGATGGAAGGATCAGCGAATTTGAGTTGAGAAAGAGAAGGGTAATGGGTAGCGCATAGAGGTTGCCAAATATGATCTGTAGACATGGAAATGTACCATGACTTGGAAACACATGAGGCTCTTGCTAGAGCTTTGGGGTCAAGGTGGTGAGCAACAAGAACAATAACCTCCCACGGCGGCGGCGGTGAAGTATTGGTGTTGGATTTAAAAGAAAGCAGCTCTGGCTGGGGCATTTTTTTACCTTTGTTATCGTTAATTTGGATATGGAGATGATCTGAATAATATTTATATGGCTATGGTGGCTTTGTATACGTGTTATGAAGTGGTGTTTTGCATGGAAACAAAACGACACGTCACATGCTTAAGGTTAGAAGAGTGGATAACACGTGCATGCTCTTTGTGTCCACACGTATGTGTATAAAGTTTTTTTCTTTTGAAAGATTGTATGAAGTTGAGGGAAAATTTTATCTCCATCCATGTCTCACTCATCTACAAAGCCAAGCCAATGAAAATAAAATTTTTTATTGAAATGAAAATATTTTTAATATATATTGAAAAAAAAATAAAATTAAAACACTTTTTTAAAAATTTTTAGACAAATAATTTTCATGAAGTCGATTTAATATTTTGATGGATGCACATAACCATCAAAGAATATTTTTCCTTTTTGCTCAATTTTATACTTTCCATTATTATGCTACTGATAAAATACCTTCTTTTGGAAATTATGCCAAAGAAAACAAAGATTATTATGTTACTATTAATTACTAATTCTCCAAAAGGATGTAATTGAAATGTTATTTTCAATTTAAAAAGTGTGAAAATTTAGAATATCTTAGGTCTTATATATATGCACACCCAACAGAACTTATCTAATCTTATTTTCAATTCTTTTTGTAATTCTTTTATTTGACTATGTTGTTAGACATGAGAATAATAACTAGCTGGGACCTGAAAATTTATAAAGAGAGGATCCAACTTGCAAATTTAACATTTTAAAAACAATGAAGAGAGCAAAAAAAAAAAAGGAAAAAGTTTAATTTCAACCTGAACTTAGATAATATGTACAAGAAGCCTATTTTTTAACTTTTGGGTTATAAATCTCTATACTTTCTTTTTAACCGGCTCAATTAATACAGTCTCTTAATGGGTCAATGCGCGTGGTAAGCATAGAAATGCATCTGCGCGTTATTATATGTCCCCTTCTCATACATATATACGCATATATTCTGACACATTCCTTTTCCTTTATTGTTATAATAATTATTTAGATGATTATTAAATAAATAATTATCATGCCATTATTGAATGGAAATAGACAAAATTTCAAGAATTAAATCAATTTTTATTTTTTTCCAAGAAAAATTTCCATTTTTTTCTTTTATATAATTAACAAAAATATATATGGTAACCAAAAAAATTAATTGTTACGACCAGAAACCATGGGCTGGACCGGCACTAGAGCCCAGGTAAACTTAAGGCCCCCGAAACTCGTAGTAAGCCTAAATCACTAAAATTCCACTGTCTGAATATAAATTTCAAACATTCGGCCCATACTACTATGAAAAATAAACCTCAAGATTTTATTATAACTCGGCCCAAAGTCACGACCCGTTTCCGTGGGCCGGACCAGCACTAGGGCCCAGGTAAGCTTAAGGCCCCCGAGGCCCGTAGTAAGCCTGAAATACTAGAAATTTACTATCTCAATAAAATTTTAACATTCAACCCATATGATTATGAACAATAAACCTCAAGATTTTATTATTTCTCGGCCCAAGTTTATCTTCTACGACATCCCATAGTTCGGGCCCAATTCACAATACATCACATTTCTAACATAGGCTTACAGAATTGCTTTGGCTATATTAATACACGACTAAAAATATGTAAATCCTACAACTGCGGAGTCACTAACTCTTAGTATACATAGCTTTTATACACATGATTACATAGCAAAAAATTATGAAACTAGAAAAATTTCTTTATTGCCCTGCGCCGAAGAAGCATAGCCTAAATCGGATTAAAGGAAAAACCTACTTCCTGAAAAATCAAACAAGACATGTGAGTTTTTCTAAGGAGTAAGAATTTTTGCACACCACACGCAGTCACACAAATGTGTAAACATATTAATCTAGTCGTCCGACTAGTTATATGCTCACGCAGCCAGTCACACAAATGGCAAATCACCAGCACAGCACTCAACAATGCATTAAACCATCTTGCATATAAATCACATCAAAGTGGAAATTAGTCAGTTTGCATCACCGCGAAAACCCCCGACGAGCCGTATTCTTCATCATGGCCCATGCCTCTCAAACGTGTGCACACCGGGGAGCCAAATCTCCATACCTGGCCGACCGGTCTAATCCTCTACTACGACCAGTCCTCTCAATTATTTTTACATTCTTCTTTTCTTTTCGCATACCAACAGGAGGCCATCCCGGTGGTCTCACATCCATCCTCCATCCAATCTAGATCATCAGGCGCTCACAACAGGAGGCCACCCTGCGGGCTGCGATCAAATCTAGACTATCAGGTGCGCAACGACGAGAGGCCATGTTGTGGTTTCTATATAATCCATAGTATCAGGTGCACACGGGGATGCCGATCTCCCATTTTCCCAGCCAACGGTCCAATTTCATAATTCATCATAATCAGGATCCATGCTTTATCGACCGTCCTCACAAACCATAGTGACCCACTTCATCCTAATTCCACACAAACAAAGCATAACATTATCACAACACAATTAATCAAGTATTGCAATTAAATGCAAACATATTATTGCAATTAATGCAAACATATTGATCAGTTAAAACATCGTAATGCAATGCACAATTAGGACAATCATACTCAAATGCAAATAAAATAAATTAGATAATAATATTAAACAATAAACAACAGACGATAAAGATAATAGATAGATAATATAATGATAATGATAGATAACAATGATAATGAAAATAAAATAAATAATTGAATAAAATAAATAATTGAATAATTAAATGAATAATAATGATAATGATAAAGTAATTAAAGCACTTTATTTATTATGTATCAAATTATAGAAATTATTTGAATAAGCTTATTTATTATGTTATTAATTAAAACTAGTCTAGGTTCTATCGAAATTTCGACAGCATCTCCCCTAAAAGTATGACTATCTACCTGTTTAAATATCACAATAATATTATATATTTATCAATCAATGCACGCAGCCCATCCGTCAGGCAACTCACAACAACACTTCCCATCCGCCACATTCGTAACTCAACATCCGCTAAGTTCTTGCATCAACAAATAATCAACTCATACAAATAATAACTAAGAATTCTTATTTCCATGTCAAATCTTCTAGTTCTGATTATAGTTCATGAAATTTATTTGACAATACTCTAAACTAATTTACAATTACACCAATAAACTAATTTATTATTATTCCAATTTAATTCACTTAATTTAGTCAATTAATTCATTAATCAATTAATTTCTTTAAATATACAAAAAATGAAGGAAAAAATTGAGGGGCTTTTTTGTTTTTTTTTCCCCCCTTAAAGAAAAAGCGTACCCGATTTCGAAATTTTGAGCGACGATTCCACGATCCCTCACAAAGAGAGGAAAAAATTCTGTTCCTGGTGTCCCTTCCGCCGGTCCGTCGGACCGCCGCCATCTTCCCGCCGTCCAACGGTGGCCGAAAATCGAATTTTTGCCCAGAAATTTTGGGCGATTCGCGACACCAAAAGAAATTTGCGATTCGCACACCAAAATGCTCGAAATTATGCCAGGACCTCGATTATATGACCAATTTGAACTGAATGTGCCTCGTTTGGTTGGAAACCGCCTCTAAACCTTCGACCAGCTACCCAACTTTTGATTTTCCGATCCCGGCGAAATCACTCAAGATTGATGCCATAAAACAGAAATAGGGGAGGAGAGGAGGTCGACCGCACCTGGCTCGAGGCTTGGGATCGCCGGAAAACTGAACTGGAGACGCGATTTCACGGTCGAGCGAAATCGCGGCCCTTTTGCGGCTGCTACACTCACCAGGAACGAAGGAGAGAGGGGAAGGGAGGCCTGAGCAGCTGCGTTGGTGACGTGACTGCGAGGAGATGAGCTCGATCGGCTCTTGTGGCCAGAAACAGGGAGGGAAGGAGGAGGAGGTCGCGCGCTGGCGCTAGGAAGGAGAAGAAGAAAAGGAGAAAAAAAAAAAGAAAGAAAGAAAAAAAATCTCGGAGCTTCTAGACCATTTCGGTTCGATTCGAATTTGTTTGATCTAATTCAATGATTCGGCTCGATTTGTTTGGTTTTTTAATCCGATTTGATTTATTTTGATTCTTTTGGTTAGGTTTTAGAACATTTCCTCAATTTACTAAATAGTAATAATAATTACTAAATAGTAATGAATAATGAATAATAATAATGATAATAATATAATGGAATAATAGATTTTAGAATAATTTAATTTATATAGCAATACAGCACAATATTACATATACATTTTTAATAAATTAATAAATTAGTGAATCCATATTTAACTCTTAAGAAATTTTCTAAGGGTTCTCACTAGGCAAAATATTTAATAATAGTTTTTGGGCTAATAGATTTTTAGAATAATTAATTTATATAGCAATCACACACATATACATATACATTTTTAATAAATTAATAATTAGTGCTCCATATTTACTCTTAAGAATTTCTAAGGGTTCTCCACTAGGCAAATATTTAATAATATGTTTTGGGCTTGAGCCCAACTCTGTAAACTTGGGCTCGAATTAGAATTAAACAGTATTTGCAGTCCAGACAGTTGAAAATTCAGATTTTTAATTTAATAAAAATTCAAAAGTTTCGAAAATAAAAATTAAGGGTGTTTCATTAATAAAGCTCAAATTATCCAAGAAATCCAAAATTAAGAAAAAAAAGGATAAGAAAAAGTTGTATAATTTTTTTCTTTTCTTTTTCCAGAGTTTAATATAATATATTTTCAATTTAAAAGAAATTGTAAAGAAGAAGAATAGCAGAGAAGGTTTTAGAACACTAAAATTATAGAAAAATTAATTTATAAAAAAACAAAAAAACAAGAAAAGAAAATTAAGAATAGAATTTATACATAGTCAGTGTAAAAACTGGAAAAGAAATATTAAAATAATTAAACCCTTGAAAGAAAAACAAAAAGGAAAAAAAACTTGAAAAATAAAAGAAAAAAGAAAAACTTGAAAAATAATTCATTTCTATTAGTCTTCTACTGAGTGAGAAAAAGCATGAA